CGAAATTACTGGTAAAATGTGCCCCCTTTAATCTAAAATTGTTCTGTCGCTGGGTTGTTCAAAAATGTTGTAATTCTTGATAATGCCTCTGTTTCGTTTGGCCACCCAAGTTTATTAATACTCAGATCACCTGATGCATACTTGCGCTCACTTTGACTCCTACAGTAATGAGACTCCACGCATTTTATATTTTTAATAAATTCGACCACGCTCCTCAGTTTCTCTTTTTATAAATGCGGTCTTTTGTCTCATCCCCTTTTTTCACATAGAAGATTACTTTCCCCTCTAAACTTGTTCATTAAAATTCGGAGTCGGCCTCTTGTGATCATCAAGGCCTTTTTTTACACATTGTAGGCGTTAATACTTCTGGCGTTGTCTCCATTTATTACTAAATACAAAAACTTTAGAGAATAATGTTCCTTTTCTCAGCTTTGACACTAGTATGACCGCCATCTTAAACAACACCGACCACGTGATACAATCTAACGCTCTGGCGGGTGCAGAGGGATATTGGTTGTTTTGAAATCTACACGACCTTGGAGAATGGTCGTTTTTAAACAACAACCAATTCTCTCCATTAATTTCAACGGAAGTTTGGTAGTTATGTTACGAAATTTATGCATAGCTGGATGGGTCCTGGATATGTCCAAAAAGTGGATATTGGTTGTTTTGCAATTAGAGGTCTCATATTTAGTTGTCTTTTATCGTCTAATTTATTTTATGTTTTTATTGTTGGGCACAAAATCGAATCCTTTTTAGAATATACGGAAAGGAGACACTTCATGTGTGAAGAAGGTTGTTACATTTTATTTTACTATGATTATATGATCTCGTTTTAACCTTAGGTAGGTACTATTACAAAAAAAGAATCCAAAATTATTTATATTTTTTGTGCTTAGCTCCTATTTTTGGTGAAATTGTTACAAGTAACCAAATATTTCATTACAAATTGACGAATTTTCATTTTAATAACAAATTAAAATTTTCATACTACATTAACATTAGTATACATCTATTTAAATATGTTATTTACTAGATATAAGTTTCTATCGTTGTATGTGTAGTAGATATCTGTAAAATGCCTTGTATACATATGAAACAGAATCTTCTTATAATGTCTAAAAGACTACAATATTTTAAAAAAGATGGTATTTAGTTATAAAAATTGTAAAAAGTACAAAATTACTACACCCTTTATCTTTAATTTTGTGTGAGACAAAAATATTAAAATCATAGGTCTTTTATTGGAATGTGCCAGTGTTAAATCTACTTTGTATTTACAAAAAGTCCAGACGGAATTCCTCATTGAATTTTTGTGTGTACGTGTGTGTTCCAGTTTTCTGGGTGAGTATTAACTCAATTTCTTCGCTAATTGTAATTCAAAATCACAGCTCAATTTCCTCGCTAATTGTAATTCAAAGTCACTGGTGCATTTTGAATTGCCTTTGAAATATTTATGAATGGAGTGCATCTGGTACGGGGTATTTACTATACCACTCACAGTGAATCATGATTGTTCATCCGTCTCCTGAGCTATCGAGTTTGCTCTAGATATTTTCGAAAGTCCTTATTAGAATCTACAAAAATTACTGATAAATGAAATTATAGTTACTAGCCAGTAAACATAATTTTCATTTCTATGCGATAATTGTTTTGCCTTGCATTGCACCAAGGAGTAAAGTAAAGGACGGGTCAATTCAGTCAGGCTTGTTTAAGCAACAATTTGCTTTGGGAAAGATTCGATATTGGGCTCACGAGTTTTACTCATTATTGAAACTAAAGATGTTTAAAATAATATCTGTACTTATTGGAGAGTCACAATGTGATATATTTGATCTAATTTGTCTTTATTTCTTGGAAACTTCTCAGATGAATTCCCAATGATTCTAGTTTTATTCTTTTCGATCTGAGAAATCATTGTTATAAGTTTTTCCATGGAAAATATCATTTGAAAAAGCAATTTGTCAGTTATTAGTACTTTTTCATGTTTCTTTCTAAGAAATTTACCACCTAATGTGAGGCTTAGGTATTTTCCACTAATTTTTCATATTCTATTTTGATAGCTCTAATATTAAATTTGCATTAAATTGAATATAACTTAATTCACTTGATTAACATCACTTTTCACGTAATAGTGATTTTGTGTAGTAAGAATGTTTCATTTAAAAAGCTTCAATTTTTAAATTGACTGTTTTATCTCACACTGTATGTAATTTTTTTATTAAAGACTGTACTTGTATCTTTCATTAGTATTTATTAATTTTAAACCATTTTATTCTAGTGGTTGTATTAATTTATTTTCATAAAAAATAAAATATGCCCAAATTCTGGTGTTTTACTGATTGTGGTATAATAATATTGTCGTTCTTATTCTGACATGCACTCCAGAGCAAGGTAAGTGGATCCAGAATCATACCATTTGGAAAAAATATATAATTAAGAAATAATAAGTAATTACATCTGTATATATTTTAAGAGACTACAGTTTAGACGGGCGATATATTTCTGGAGTCGAGTCCAGACGGTATGTATTTAAAAATTATCATTTTTGGACGTGAAACATAAACGCAGTTTTTTTTAATAAATCGCTCCTAAATATCACTAGAACTGATAATTTCACTATTCGTGAGTTGTAAAATTTGGGCTTGACTTTCTATTAAACAAAATATGAAAAGAATTCGATATTTTTCGTCGTTTCACATACATCTCGAGGACAGAATATAAATCCGGCTCAAAGGACCAAAATGAAAAGACAGCAGGAAATGTGAAAACAACTAAATAGCTCTAATTATTATTCAATTTAAAAGAGCAAAATGCCACGTGGTACGCACAAATCGCTTACCTTAAAATGGTGTTCTGTAACACTTTAACAGGTTGGATGCCGCTATTTTGAAACTTACTTTTACGTGGTCCCAAATTAATTAAAAAATAGAAAAAACGGTATGCTGTTGCTAATAATTATGAATAATGTTTTATATGTAATTGCTATTTCAAATATTTAAGAAAAGGTAAAAAAAAACTGACTCTCGTAAGCGGCTGTGGCACTTAGTTTCGGCATTCATATCCATGTACCGTTGACGCCGCTTATAAGAGTTGCGTATACTCTACAGTAAAACATTATTTATTTCAAAACATGTAACAAAAACAAATCTAAATATTAATAAAACTTTGGCTGCTATATTCTATTTGTGAGTTATAATTCTGCAAATATCCTGGATTTCCAGGATAAGTTTCGCACACATATGTTGTATCCGTCCGTTTTTTTTTTTCTTTGGAACAGCTTTGTCATCTTTTTCTGTCGAGTTGTTTTTTACCTTGAGTCTTTTCCATTTTTATTAGCCTATGTTCGATATTTGATGCATTTTTTTATTTAAATTCTTATACGGAGGTAAAAATTCATTTATGATTGCCATTCTAAAATCAAATATTGACATTTTCTGTCCAGAATATGTATATTATATAAGTGAAAAGCATTATTAAGCATCATGCCCATAATATGGAAAAAATGTTTATTTGACCATCTTATTGTTTTCCTTTCGTGGAGGTAGTATGAAAGTTTCTGATCAAGGTGATCTACACCTGACATATGTTTATTGTATTCGACGACAGGCAATGGTTTAGTACTTTTTGTTTTCTTTTATTTTCTACTTCAACCATTGTATTTACAAATTTATTTGAAATATATAAAACATCCCTCTTATACTTCCACTTTCCTATCATTACTCCTTTAGCATATTGCGCAATGATTTCTTCCTTTTTCAGCTAACTTGAAATAACAGCTTTGGGTGTCATTTTTCTATTAGACCGAAGTGTGCCGGTGCAGTGAGTCTGAGTCTTAATTAGAGTTCTGGCTAAAGAAAAAGTATTGTAATAGTTGTCCATATAAATATGATGGCCAACATTTAATAATCCATCCATTAAGCGGATTAAGCATAACGTAGCCCGATTGAGTTTGATGATGATATGAAGTTTTTAGTTTCATCCGAAAGAATTTTAGCGACTAAATGATAAGATATGAAATAAGTGATGCTGATGTCCAATTCTCACAGTATAACTGTTAGAATTATAAGCAGAAAGCTGAAAACTGGTGAAAAACCTGACTTCACTTGTCCAGGAGCAATTATTTTTTATAATAATTTTATGGGAGAAGTAGATCTCGCCGATCAAAACGTTAGTACATATGATATGGACCGAAAATCTGCGAAACGGTGTAGAAAAGTTTTTTTATAGATTAGTTATGTACGCTATTGTAAATTCTTGGATTATTTACAAGGATTTGCATATAAAATAAGTGTATAACAAACTTTTCACTTTTGAATTTTCTGGTGCCACTAGCAGAACAGCTGATTGAATTAAAAAGATCGAAATCAAATGTAAAAAGACGAAATAAGTGGCCGTTCTGGAAGAATATCTAAACGACAGAAACAGTTGATCACCGTTGGAGACCATTTGCCACAACAAATACCTACTAGGAGAAGGTGCTTTAGATGTTCACAAAATAAATCAGAAACTCAAACTACGACTATTTGTACAGCATGCAATGTGCCTCTAAGCAAAAATTGTTTTTTACATCATTCATAAGAAGTAATGATGTTTTTTGTGTAATGTACTTTTTTTAATTTTAAATATGTTTGTTTCTTTAACACTAATGGGACATATATATCCCATGTCCTTTCTAAGGATACAAGGACACGCAACAATGTAAAAAAAATCAATCGCTTTGTTAGAACAAGTATCAAAGTCATTTTAAACAGTTTTATTTAGCTACAATGAAATCAGTAATGAAAGGGTTAAGGTTCGAAACAAACATCTTATGTACCTAATATCAATTACAAAACTTCTCTACAAAATTATTATAAAGTAAAATCCACATTTTACAACTTATGCATATTGAAATTATCAGTGTGGTGATATTTTGAAGAGATTTATGCCAAAAACTGCAACACATACAGTTTGGGGACCACTAATAGATCAAAACACATTTATTTTACACAAATAATAGTCATTGTAATTTTTTTATTGGTTTTAACTGATACATGTTTAGATATATAAATATATGTAACAAATTACATTAGATTTTTAAAGTTAATATAGTGTATAAATTAACATTTTTGTGGACAATATCTAAGTTCTCTTTTTTCGCCGGCATTAACAACTGCTCTGATCGGCCAACCCGATCCAATATGACTGTAGTCAGTGGTGTACATTCCGGGAGGACACAAATTTTGCCATGGTCCCGCATCAGAGTTAGGGTTATGGCAAATTTGTCCACTGTCGGCTGTGTATGGATACATATCCGAGTAGGTTTGATAGATATATCGGCCTTGGTATTCTGACTGCATTCCACTGAAATAAAAATACCAACTTAAATGACTAATAAATAACTAAACAGTGTGGTAGCTTAAACGCCACCCTTTTTGATTTAATGAACGAGATAATCGGAAGTTATCCACCATTTGATATGGAATGGCCAATAAATATTACACAGTAGTGTACATTGAATTGCATAGAAGCAGCGTATAAAGGGGAAGATTTGATAGAAGCTATAGTAGTATAGAAGCAAAGTTAAAGCATAAATGAACTGTATATCAAAGAAAATAAACTATAGAAGCCGCTCAGAAAGCTAAAGGATATGGCGATATATATATATATATATATATATATATTATATATATATATATATATATATATATATATAAGGTTCTTGAACTCCTACGTGGAGCATAGAGCTTCAGTGAAAACGCGCCATCGGGTTCTATTTTGCGCTAAGGCCTTCACCTCATTCCAAGACTTTCCTTGTTTTCTTATCTCGTCCATGATGGATCTTCTCCAAGTTTGTACTGGGCGACCTTTTTTTCGTTTTCCTTGGGGATTCCACTCTAGGGCAGTCTTTGCAATACTGGAGTTATTTTTTCGGAGTGTGTGACCGATCCAACCCCACTTTCTGGACTTTATTTCATTTACTACCCTCTTTTGTTTGGTCAGGTGTAGTAAGTCTTCGTTTCTGATGATGTTAGGCCAGAAAATACGAACAATTCTTCGTAGACATTTATTAACAAAGACCTGCAGTTTGTCTGTAAGGGTTTTTGTCGCTTTCCAGGTTTCACATCCGTAAAGTAGTACAGACATGACATTTGACTGGAATATGCGGATCTTTGTCCTCGTAGTGTAGTCTCCAGACCTCCAAACAGGGTTGAGCATGCTGAAAGCTTGTTGCGCTTTTCGTATCCTCATACGAATATCGTCTTCTGTACCTCCGCTTTCTGTTATGACACTTCCAATATACGTAAAGTTTTCCACATTTTCAATCTGCATGTTATTAATGGTGAATAGCGTGTTGTTTCTTGCATTTATTCTCATGGATTTGGTTTTACCAATATTGATTTTCAAACCTATTTTATTGGCTTCAGTGGAGAGTGTTTCCAATTGGTCAGCCACATATTGGAACCTTTGTCCTAACAGGCAGATATCGTCGGCGTATTCTAGATCGCTTAGGCGTGTGGTTAACGTCCATTGTATCCCTCTTGTGTCAGAGTCTAGTTTGGAGAGAACATAGTCTAGAGCTATGTTAAAAAGAAACGGAGAAAGCACGCATCCCTGTCTGACTCCAGTAAGTACGTCAAATTCGTCACTGTTGATCCCATTGTGTCACTCTGCATTTCGCTTCAGTGTACAGTAACTTTATGATGGAAATTATTTTATGCGGGATGTTTCTTAGCTCTAAAATTTTCCATATCGCATCATGAGATAAGCTGTCAAAAGCACGCTCGAAATCAACAAAAACCATGTATAGGGGTGTGTTCCATTCAACCGATTGTTCCATTATTAGCCTCACAGTATTAATGTGGTCTATGCAGGAGGATTCTGGTCTAAAGCCTACTTGATTAGCTCGAAATTCAACCTTGTTTGTTAATCTTTTAAGTATATGGCGATATACTATATCAAAAATTTTGTTTTGTAAAGACTTGTTTTACAATTTTTAATTTATGTACAAACTTGTACTCTGACTTTCATTTTTTACTCTTTTATAATCAAAGCAGGACAGCATTTAAAAATATATTTTCCAAATTTGATACACGTTAACTATTTAGCACATACTTTAAATAGAGTAGCAGAAATTGTAAGGACAGTGTTTCCAATGGTCAATACCCTTGTATCAAATATAAAAATAAAATATTTTTAAAAGCCCCTCTGCGAGTACAGACGTATAAAGATCGTTTACCTAATGTACTTTTACCACCTGAACCGGTGATAACTAGATGGGGAACATGGTTAAAGGCAGTAAATTTCATTACTGATAATTTTGAGCGAATTAGAGACGTCATTTGTAGCTTCGATGTAGGTGCTATAAATATTGTGTGGACGACATAGAAAGAAAAATGTTGAGAATTTATAATTGTGATCTTCTTCTTAGAGTGCCATATCCCTATGGAACGTCGGCGACTACCATGATTATAATATATATACTGATCACGGTTTTGCGCTACGTGTAGCAATTGGTCCGCTGTCAAACCTGTCCACTGCCGCAAATTCCTCAACCAAGAGAGTTTCTTCCGTCCTATCCATTTTTTTCGTTCGATTTTACATTTGAGAATTAGCCGAAGGAACTCATATCTTGGTCCTCTGGTTATATGTCCAAGATATTCTGTTTACGCCTCTTAATAATATTTAATAGAGTTCGTTGATGTCCCATTCTTCAAAGAACTTCTTCGTTTCTAGTTCTGCTAGTCCATGGAATTTTTAGTATCCTTCGATACACCCACATCTCAAACGCCTCGATTTTTTATTTATGATATCGGCGTTTAAAGTCCAAGTTTCACATCCATACAAAAGTACAGACCACACGTAACATCTTGTAAACTTTTCACGGATTTCCAAATTTGATGAGTTATTGGATAATGGAGGCTTGAAGTTTTGAAATGAATTTCTTGCCTGTTCAATTCTACATCGAATTTCGAAGGATGGATCTAGATTTTGAGTAATCCAACGTCCAAGGTATTTGAATCTCTGAATTCTCTGCAGCGGTTGTTGGTTTAATATCAGTTGGGTTGCGCCGATATCCACTTTACTAGTCACCATGTATTTAGTTTTATCGATATTTATCGACAGTCCCCAATTTCTGCATTCCATGTCAACTCTATTGATTAGCTCCTGCAGATCGTCGATGTTTTCAGCTAGAATCACAGTATCGTCGGCGTACCGTATATTGTTAATTATTTCTCCTCCTATGATAATTCCTTTTTGATCTTTTAAAGCTTCCCTAAATAGATTCTCAGAATACACGTTAAAGAGGGTGGGAGATAGTATACAGCCTTGTCTTACGAATCTTTGAATACTGATTGGTTTTGATTCTCTTTTGTTGGTATTAATAATGGCTGTTTGGTTCCAGTAAAGTTTGGCAATAAGTTTGATGTCTTTCTCATCTAGTTGGATGCTCTGCAAGGTGGTAATTAGTCTGGTATGCTGAACGCGATCAAATGCCTTTTCAAAATCAATGAAGCACATATATACGGGTTTTCTTACCTCCCAACATCGTTGAAGGAGTGTTTGCATAGAAAATAGTGCTTCTCTAGTTCCAAGGCATCTCCGAAACCCGAACTGCTCTTGACTAATTATTTCTTCGCACTTGTTAATTCGGTTTAGAAGAATATACAACAGTATTTTAACGGCATGGCTCATTAAACTAATGAGTCTACAATCGCTACATTTCTTAACGTTTGGTTTCTTAGGTAGAGGAATAAAGATCGATTTTAACCAGTCCGATGGAATTTCACTGGTATCATATATTTGATTGAAAAGTACAGTGAGTTCTTTTATATTGTCATTTGAGAGTAATTTTAGCCATTCGCTGTGATAGGTACATACGCTCTCTCGCATACTCTATTGATACATTCTCTATCACATAATTGTGATAGAGAATGAAAAATGAAAAATAAGGAGCAAAAGTTACAAAAATATGAAGCGTCAATAATGTAATAAAGGCAATATCTACTAATTATATTAATAAAGTGGACATTATCTATTCTATAGGATATTGTATATTTCTATTGGAGAGTTGCATACCTGTGAGGCACTCTTTTTTGTCCTTTATGTAAGTTTCTAATCGGAAATTGATATTTGAACACCGTTTTATCATAAACTGACTTATTTCCAGTTGCTGGCATCGGAAGTTTCTTTTCCGATTTTTTATAAACTCCAGAAGTATTGTAGAATGTCGGCAAATCAGATCTTGCTTGCGCGATTTGCTCTTCGTTGTAAGGTATCAACTGTAATTTGTTGTTCGTCATATAAATATCCAAATATTTCCAAGCTCCAACTTCGTTTGGTGGTATCGCGCGTTGGACGGGTTTTGCAATGCCAGTTATCTGAAACATTAAAAAATGTGTTATTTAATCTAAACATTACGTTTAGGTGCTATGACTTCATTACACAACCATGGTATTCTGGCCGAATCGCAAGAACGTCCTCTATCCCTTCAGAGGCAGTTTTTAATCGATAAAATTTCCATGGTAGACATAGTAAATGTAACGAACCTATTCTGGAAAAGCAAAAATTCTCCTCTACTGGCTAAGACTTTTATTAGCACCGAAAATTACAAACATTATATTTTTAACACCAATAAATATCCTTTTTATCAGTCCAAGTACGAATCACTTATTTTAAAACCAACTGCTATTTTCCCAAGAATAAAAGTGCTTCAGTTTTAAATAACCCCATACTTGAAAAACGAAATCAAGAGATTGCCGATGAATTAATTGATTCCCTTGACAATACGCGTCGTGAAACATAATCGGAGATAGTCGAATATCTGAACTTCAAAATTTTTAGTCAACCAGTGTGGGGACACCACTTCGTGAACTAGTGTAGAACGTGCACACATTTTCCTTGTAACGGACACAGGGATAATTTTAAATAAGTCTTTTTTCATAAAAATAATGTTTATTTTAGTTATTCTACACACGCTCGATGCGCTATTTACTAGACCTTTAAATTTTTAAATCTATAAAAATGTATGTATAACTGTGACCTACATAATAGATTATAACATCGGAAAGTGCATGACAAACAAGGTAAATTATTATACCTGTGGTATATCCACCATCCTACCGTAATTATTGTATAATTAGCATGTGGTAAAAGTTATCAATAAATGCATTTCATCGAAATAATGTGTTATTTGTCAACGAGGAAAATAAGGAGATCTCCCGTCCTACCTTCTGCCCGATGGCTGAATCATAATACCACAAGCATTACGCTATTGGGCTTCAATAAACCTGAATGTCAAACGACAAATTATTACACCAAAGTTAGTAGCCTCACACATTGCCTCAGCATCTAGACACCTTACAGACCCAATACTTAAACTACTCAACCAACCATTCACAAAGGAAGAGCTTTACTTTTTTGTGATATCCTAAACAAAGATTGAATCGATAATAAAGTGAAGAGACCAAAAATGTTAGCACTACTCAAACCAATAAAACTAGCTACCCAAAAAGCAAATGGCCAATTGCCTATTGAGCTTCTTCTTCTTCTTCAAGTTCCACTCCTATCGGAGATTGGAAATCATTCTGGCAATTATAATGTTATTGATTACGCGCCTGAATAGTTCAATTGTACTGCATCCAAACCACTCACGGAGATTGCGTAGCCACGAGATTTTACGTCTTCCTACGCTTCTTCTACCTTTGATTTTACCCTGCATTATATTCCTTAGTAGTTCGTACTTTTCACCTCTCATGATGTGCCCCAAGTATTCCAATTTCCTGATCTTTATGGAATTTAAAACTTCGCATTGTTTTCCTAGTTGTTCGAGAACTTGTTCGTTTGTTTTGCGATCCATCCATGATATTTTCAAAATGCGTCGGTAACACCACATTTCGAATGCTTCTAGGTTTTTAATGTTGGATTTTTTAAGTGTCAAGCTTCAACTCCATACAAAAGGGTAGAGAAAATATAACATCGAAGCATTCTTATCCGGAGCGATATATTGATATCGCGATTACAAAAAAGTTTTCTCATTCTATTAAAAGTTGACCGCGCAATTTCAATGCGGCATCTTATTTCTTTTGTCTGATCAGTATCTTCTGTGATCCATGCTCCAAGGTATTTGTACGAAGATATTTGTTCAATTTCTGTATTGTCTAGTCTGCCTATTGAGCATTGGAAGCTAAAACCACATGTAAGTGCAGACCACACACTTCGCGCAACCACACACTACGTGTAGTAACCGTAGTCTCATGCATGTTTTTTAATAAAATAAATTAAATTATGTAGGTAAGTAATAGTTCGGCAAAAACTGAAAATTAACTAATAGTGTGAAAAATTTCCTTTAAGGTGAATGCATGTTTATATATAGGTTTTATTGTTTTTATTTACATGCAAATGAAATAAAATTTTCATTTGCATGTAAATATGGAACTAGTTTTTTTATCTTTTACTTAAATCTTATTTAAATCGATAATAAACATGTAATTTTAAATCATAGAAAAATTTATTTATTTTATCAGACTTATAACAATTAAACCTATTAAAGAAACAAGTAAATACGGCTCTGATTAGAATAAGGGTAGTCTCGTAGCAAAACGTGCTTAAGAGTTTTGGCAACACTGATCGACTAAGAATAGTCTTATTAAAGCCCTCCAAAATTTGTGTATTTATGTGTTTGCTAAAAATTTGTACCATTTTGTGAACAATAATATGTTTTACTTCTTGCACATGGCGAAAATAATGACAGAAATTTAAAATAACTACTTATATACATAAAAAACATCTTACTTCGCAAATTCCTGAGATTGCTGGAGGTATTACTTCCCTTATATTCATTCTATACGGAATTCCTTGATAGTTTTCCTTCATTTCTGATATTTTAGGTGGAACAGATGGTGGTGTATTTTTTGTCAACTAAAAAATTAAGAATAGTAATCAATTATAAAGAAACGCTATTGTATTAAAATAACTTTGTAAGGTAGACGTTACCTCAATTATATTTAACCCTATACGAGTATTGTGCAATGTAGCACATTTGCTACAACACAGTTTTCAGCTAAGTATATTAAATTTAAATCAACAACTCTTGCTTTGTTTCGCTATGTATCATATTAGATACATCCTAATACACATGACAATATGGGTGACTGTGGGGGCGAGTGATATTACTCGCACCTAAAATAAGTTAAAAGTTTGTTTTTTTTTAAATAGGTTCTAGTTTGCTTACGATATTCGACTTCTGTTGAGAACGTATCAAAAGTGTCACTAGATTTTCATTATTTTTAATAAATTGTTGATGTAATTCTACTTTGAATGAAAGTTTATATTAAATCTAAAGGTAAGAGCAAGGCTATATATTTAATTATTTACTTTGAATGTACACTAATGTCTAAGTACAAAATTCCATCATTATTAAGGTTGTATCAAATTTCATACGTAGCGTTTTTGTAGGGTAATTATGACTACCCGTAGATCTCTGACTGATAGGAAATTGTTTTTGTGTCTACTGTGAGTACTAGTAGAAGTAGGCAGATTGAGGCCTCAGAGCCGTTTGACGGTTCTTGTATTTACACAGAACAAGATATTGGTACGTAACGAGTGAGAGGAGTAGGCAGATTGAGACCCCGAACTCGAACGGAACCATATTCCTCTTGATAATGGCTCCAAAATGGGTGCCGAAACGTCTAGTTTTAAATTCTCATCGGGGGTCTTCCCGAGAACTTAGTAATTTTCATTTACCTGACCGCGGAAATTTACAGTTCTCAATTTTACAGCTACACTTAATAAGTAAACTTAATTACGTCTTCAGTAAAATAAGAAACGTAGAAAAAATCTACAACATGTTTAAATTTTCTACTTACTGCTTCTTGGAGTGTTCTGATATACTGTACTTCTTGGTTAACGGTAGCTCTTGGATAATTGGCCAACACGTCATTTTCCTTAAATTTAATAGAAAAGTCCCGCTTGCTAGTAGAAAGTACATCGTTTTTAATTAATATGTCAGTTGCTAATAGTTCCGGATTTATTTTAGTGTGGACTCTCTGTAAAAAGAAACTAAATAAATCTTATTTAGAAAATTATATAATAAATATATCTCTTGAGGAACTATTGTTACAGATTAACGTATAAATTAAAGATTAAGACTTCTACCGTTATTAGTAGACAATTATAATAAAGATATGTAGGTATTATTTATATATGGAGTTCAGGATTGCCAAATATAATTTTCATCCCGAAATAGATACATAGGGATAGTTCTATAGGATATGTAGTCTGTCTTTATAATAATATAAATACGTTTTACCTACACAATCGAACTCCTGGGGAACAGAAGGAATAAAACTGTGCCCTCTTGTATAGCTAGTTCGATAATCTGCAGTTTTCGCTATAAGTGGAATTCCATAATCTATATGACCTTGGGTGTTTTGAGTACATTGTCTCGGGACGTACATTATTAAAAGTTATTTAATTCATTTCTATCGATCAAACTTAATTATTGTTTGTCAACATTGGCAACTTTTAAAATTTATTTTTGAAATAGCCCTCGTATATGAGTTTGTTACTTCCAATGACGTATAATATACTTCGCTACCATAGCGACATCTACTACATGTTACACTTAAATAAAAAATTTCTTTATCATTCGGATTTTTTTATTGAATGGAAACCAGAGACACAGAACAACAAAGTTGTAAGAGACCTCTCCACAGAATAATAAACAAACAGAAGGCCCACTCTCAGATGCCGCCTTTGAAGTTTTTCAGCACGCGCGCCATGTTTTACAAGGACACAAACATATGATTTGTGAGGTTATGCAATTGTTTGTATTTATGTTTAATTATATTATATTTATGTTATTATATTTAACAATGTTAATATAATTGTATAGTATGTATATGATTGCCGCAAGTCCAATAAACATGGTTAATTTTTCTATGCACACCACATAAACAACACCGGTTCCCTTTAAAATCCTCCTAAAACATGGCGGAACGTCTGCGCGGAGGAAATGCGCGTACTTAATTTTCCGTGGAGAGTGGGCATTCTGTTTGTTTATTATTCTGTGACCTCTCTTACATATCATTGATGGAAACACACAACACATCTAAATTAAACCTACAAATTGTAGATTGATAACAAGGATACCTAAGAATAACGCACGTTTTTATTTGTGCACCCTTCCGCTTGATGGCACTGTTAGTCTCGTTCCTGCGCGTGGATTTCAAAAAGGATCTTACCTCCATGTTCCTGCACGTTGTTCCTTGTAACTTTATGTCATTACTCATTAATGTTGTTTTGATTTTTCATAAATAGTGCAAAAAGCTACAGTTTTCGACGATGTTTAAATATGAGAGCGCCTTTCACATTTGGTCCCAGTGAAGATAGCCTCAAATTAGCTTTCAATAAAGTTTCACAGAACGTAATATTGCATTGGCAGTGTTGCCATGCCCTTGTAATGTACATGTTATATACTTCAAATACAAAGAGATAAAGGTTTTAAAATGTATATTTTTATTAGATTATTTTACGGATTCTGCAATTTAATACCTTATATAAAACGTTAATGGATTAATATTTGTTTTGTTTGATACTAATTGCAATTAATTATTAAAAATTTTTTTGGCAATTGCCCTTTGATAGGTTAGCGAATAGATTTGGCAATAGAGCCAGAACCCTCAATAATGCTCGCTCAAACCACCAGTTGCCTAACTAAACTCTGACAAACTATTTACTTTTTCTTTTTTTGGTAATTGGTAAGTATTAGTTTTTAAATTTCTTAAATACATGGAATAACACAATAATGGAAATATGAAGAACTGAACATAAAAGACGTGTTTCAGAATGCATGGATACTACTAGCAGAGAAGTTACTAGCATGCAATACCGTTTTCCAAGTCCATGAAATTATATGGATATGTTTGACAAATGGTTGAATTAAAAAATAGAATACAGAAACTATTTATTATAACAATTTTCATGTATGTTTTAAAGAGAGGAGGATATAATAAAAGTTGGACATATGGGCATTAAGGGAAAAAACCCTTCCATTTAGTTTTTACCACGGCCAGGTAAGAACACCAAGGGGACCAAGACCAGACCGTTGACCAGGCTTGTATTCATATAAAACTTGACATTAGAATAATAAAACAATTATTTAAATCACAACATTAAGTTACTTAGAACACTAAGTTACTTTTTTTGTATTATTAATATTTCTTGTAACACAAATAAAATTTCTTGTAACGTTTTTAAGAATAAAGAATTTATTCTATATTTTATTCTTTACCTTTTTTAACCACTCAACATAACAAGAAAACCTAAAATTATCGTATAGAATAAGTTTTCTTTTTGTTATTCTAGGATTAGACTGATTTTCCCTTAAGAATTAATCGCCATGTATATATATAGTTACGCACCCTGGCACTAGGCAATGCGCCAATCGTCGTTGTACTTGTTAATACGGGACTGGCACTGCTAGGTGGGAGTGTGCTGTGGAATGGAAAACAGGATTTGATTGAAAAAAGTATTGAATTTTCAAGTGAATGTAAGGTTAAGTTAGATTAATTTTTTTTAATTTATATTTTATATGCATAGGCCATAGTTCTTTTTCGTATATAAATTTAATTTAAAAAGGTAGACAGACGATTACATTTTTAATTGGTAACTGTTATTCTGTGTTATGTTTTTATACGCTGTACAAAACCTGCTAAATATCCTTTGTTGTTCTTTAAATTATATTTATAGTTTGATTACAATGCATTTTTTAGATGGACAGCCAAGTATCAATCGAAGGATACCATGTTGATTTAATTGACGACGCTTGGAGATCAGAGACACTTCCAGAAGACGACATTGCAGTCCCAACTTGGGAACTAGCAGACCCGGAAGCAGATTCTGGAGATATTCATCTGACTCTGAAAGAACAAGAACAGAAGTGGAGTGATATTATGCTATCTCATCTAAGCGAGCATCAATAATAGTTTGAATATAATCATTACACTAATTTTATAAGTTTAGATATAATGGAATTGCCAGATATTGGCAAACAATGTGCACATCCTCAATGCAAACAACTTGATTTCCTTCCTTTAAATTGTAAGTGTGGATTAACTTTTTGTTCAGACCATTTTACTATCCATGCACAAGAATGCCAGATTTCGAAATTTCTCTCTGAGGATGAACTAAAGAAAATAGAAAATGTTTATGTTTGTTCTCACCCTCAGTGTAAAGAAAGGAGTATAGTTGCTCTGATATGTGAAAGATGTAAACAACACTTTTGTGTTCAACATAGACACTTGGCAGAGTGCAAAGAAAAAGATGAGGAAACTTTGAACAAAGAAAAAGAGAAGTATGCAGCTCCTGTACGGATTTTTAATGAAGCCAAAGCAGTTGTTGATAAACAGGTAAATCTATTTGATAATTCTGTTTTTCAAAAGATATCCAATGTTAAACCCAAGGTTAAACGATAAAGAATTTGTTCTGCCTTTAGTCCATAAGGTTATATCTTCTTCTTCTTTGGGTGCCGTGTCCGTATTCAGACGTTGGCCGTCATCATGTTTACAATTTCCTGAAACCTTTCTCTGTCGGGTGCTGCGCGAAATAATTCTACTGTGGAACCGCACCATTGTCTAATATTACACAGCCATGAAAGTTTCTTTCAACCAATCCATCTCTTTCCTTCCACTTTTCCTTGTATTATAAGGCGAAGTAGATGTTATTTAGGTCCTCTAATTATATGGCCGAAGTATTCTGTTTTTCTCCTCTTTATTGTGTTTATGAGCAGGCGTTCTGAATTGATCATTTGAAGAACATCTTCATTGGAAGTGTGCGAAACCCACGATATCTTTAGGATTCGTCTATAGCACTACAATTTGAATGCTTCTAACTTGTTTAGCATTGTGGTTTTTAACGTCCATGTCTCGCAACCATACAATAGGGTGGACCACATATAACATTTCAGGACCTTCTTACGAATATTCATTAAGAGGTTTCTGTTGCATAAAACTGGTTTCCAGGTCATAAAAACCTTACATGATATTTCAATCCTGGTTATTATCTCTTCGTCAGAGTCACAATTTACATTTAACCAGCTGCCAAAGTATTTGAAATGATTTACCCTTTCGATCTCTTCTCCATTAAGAGAAATCAGATCTTGATCTATATTGATCTCTCCAACTGCCATCCACTTTGTCTTTGAAATGTTAATTTTAAGGCCTCTCCAATAGCTTGCTTCACTGACTAGATTTAGTAATGTTTGGAGATCTTGTAAATTTTCTGCAATAATGGCTGTATCATATATTATCGCGTATCTAATATTGTTGATTACTTCTGATAAGATTATATGTAGGATTCATAATTTAATATCTCCTCTATACTATGGGCTGTTAATCTTGTTGGTCCACAATATTTTTCTTGAATTCTTCCATGAATACATCTAATAATCGCTAGTCAAGGTTTTATATATTTTCACTGTTTTGTCCAGAGCCACATTTGTTAATAAGCTTGTGATGTCAAAACTAATTAGTTTGTGGTTATATAATCTATTTCTGACAGTTTTTGTCTGCTGAAAGTAGAACCCATGCTTCTGCAGATTGGTTTGAGTGGTACAATGACTTTGTGTTCAATCACAAATTAATCCCTTAATTTGTAATCTCACATTATTCTTAACTTCTTAATCTTTTATAGTTTCATCGTGTATAATTGAGGCATTGTAAAACTATGTTGTGTAATATTTTAATAATTAGTTCATTTACCTACAACTTTATAAATTGCTGAATAGGTAATATATTTTCCAATTGAACTTCCTAAGTGTTGCAATTATGGCCTAGATTAAATTGTATTGTAAGCTCATAGTTCAAAGTTTGTTAGTATGATAGAAGCAATAACCTCTGTACTGAGGTATACATTATTTGTGAGATTATAAATTGGGGATTTGAGCTCATGTAAGTGCAGTCTATTATATATAGTTACCTAAACAACATCATATAGTGTAATTAGTAGTAGCTGTCAATAAAACCAACATTTTTACTCCACAATTTCATCGTTTTATTGTATTTATCAAGGTCGATCGAGAAGAAGCAGACAAAGGGTCATTATAAAATGGTTCGATTGTAATAACTACATTCGGATATGTCCATTTTGTGTATTTTTGGAACTGTGTGAAAGATGTGGTGTCTTGAAATCTCATATTTCAGATCTCATATGTTTTTAAAATACCATTCAAATGTTAATTATACCTCCAATAAACAGGGATTATACTATTTTTTAAATATGGTTTTTTATTTTTCCATGTTTTAGGTAGAAAAAAATCTAGCTGATGCCAAAAAGAAGCCAAAAAACAGAGAAATGGCAAACAAAGTGCAGCTTATGAAAATAAAAAATAAAGCTACAGGTCTTAAAACAATTCCAACCATTGATCGTGTATACTTCAGTGTATCCTATCTCGAAAAGTCTTGTCCTGTGTTTGTTTCTAAGCAGTGGAGTCTTGGAA